AAAAAAAAAAAAAAAAAAGTTGGTTTATTTTTAAAGCAACTATATTTCACTATTAAATTACTTTTACAGTTTAAAACAAACCATCACATGCCCTTATTGTTTAGAATTAATTTAGTACAAATCACAAAGAAAATAACTTTAATGATTTCAATAAACATTCTTCAACTATTCTTTTTTTTTTCCATGGGTTATGTAAAAAAAAATTAAAAATTCAAGAGCACAACTTTTTAAATTACTTTCAATGCAACAAACTGGTTTCTAATATGAGAGAAACTTTACTAAAAATACTTTTTTCTGCCACTTTATTAAACTTTAACAGACTAGTACAGAAACACATCACAGCTTCAACATGCAAGTCAATTAGTATTACATGTACAGGACAACTAATTTAACACGTGACAGCTATTTACATTAACAAGTTATGTAAATGTACATGTGAAGAATAATGTAACTTTTCATTCATTGGCACCTCATACAATAAATGTTTTACTAACTCAAAGTAAATTTTAATTTTTTTTTACACTTTAACATAATCTAATTTAACAAGAAATTAACATGTAATATACTATTCAAAAAACCAAATTTCAAACATATAATAATAATTATAATGATTTTAATTTTAACTTTCCAATCCAAGTATTTACATTTTTTTTCACTTTGGTGTAAGACATTTGACAGATTTCCATATTATGGATTTGTAACCACAACTTTTTTTTCAACAGAATGAACAGGAATAATGTAAAATTTGCACAATTCACATATCAGAACTATTAATGTTTCCAGAAGGTACATAAAAATTATCATTTTACTATGTTAATTTACATTTTCCAAGAAGTAAACTGATTAACAAAAAAAACACTAAAAAAGCTATACATTGTACTTGAAGTCATTAACAGTATATCATCCTACAGACGTAAGCACATTTCAGCACATTTTATGCATCCTTTTACGAGTTTTAAAGCCACAGGTGCAAGGTTGAGAAAGGTATCATTCATTTCAGGCATTATTGGGTATTTTATGAAATAATCACTTGCAGTTTTAAACATTTTAAGGGTTAGTGTCAATTATATTGATAGGTGACAAGTACTGGATAATGTAGGTCTTCGCATAAGTTCTAAATTATTTAATCACTTCAGCAGGCTTGTACCTGTGGCTTTAAGTCCGTCGGTAGGCAACAAGTAGAACAACACAAACTTAAATTTGATCTGAAATTTAGTTTATGTGTGATACTTACATCTTTATAACTTTAATCCCACAATTATATTGTCATTCGGAATTTAATTTTCAAACTAGCTTGGTTAGATTTTTATTTTGACAAGTCAAACTTAAATACAAAAAAGGGGGTATCACCTGACTTTATACTTCTGCAACAAAAGTGTACGAAAATTAACATATATATATATATATTTTCTAATTTAACATTCTACACAAACATGATTTACAAGTTAAGTGTCAGTTGTATCACAAAAATAGATGAAGATTAAACATATTGATACGAAAGTCTATGGAGAACTTCCTGCACGTTTGGATCTAATAAATGCCATTCCATGTCTGCGAATGTGCTTCTTTAGCTGAAGTTCAGTGTCGAATGTTGCATAACAAACAGAACATTCATTTTTGTTTGATACACTTTGATAATATGATGATGCAATAGAATGTCCTATCTCACTCATACCATGATCACTTAAATATTTATTTATATCTTTAACTTTGTGGACAGAGAGAAGGTGAGTTTGTAAAGAGAATTTTTTTACAAAGCAAGCTCCACACTCGGGGCACTGAAAATGAGATTCTTTCTTGTGTATTTTTATGTGTTCAAGGAAAACATTTCTTTTAAGAGAAAGAAAACTGCACTTAAAGCAGTTATAATTTCCATTCTCAACTCCATCTACAACAGTTTTATCAACTTGTTTAAGTTCAGCACTTTGAAGAGGAGAAGTGTTACATAATTTATCACTATATTCAGAATCTCTATTATCACCTTCTTCATCTTCAATTTTCTGCTGACAAGAATGAGTCTCATTTACACATTTTTTTGTCTCAAGGTTTTCTGATCCCTCTTTTATTAAGTGGTCATAGTCATCAACCTGTAATTTGTTTTCAGACAAATCTCCTAAAGTTTTTATATCTAGACCACATTCTTCAGTTGAACTAATCTTAGTCACATTATGACAAGAATGCAAAGACTGCCTGTTATCACTAATTGCTAATATGTTGTTCTCGCTACAGTCATCTCCGTCACCCTTATTTTCTGGGTGACTTTTCGAGGACTCTCTTTGAAGTTCTTTTTCTTGACCATAATATGTGTTTTCTGACAGATTACTATCTTGTATTTGTTCATAAAAGCTGGTTGATAAAAGGTTTCGTGCCATTTTTGTATCATTAATTTCTTTGTCCTCCTTACATTTGGATGCTTCTTTAATAGAACTTTTATATGTCTCATCATTTTCCGGGATATTGTGGTTGGTATTTTCAGTATTTATGTCTACATTGTTAGCTACTCTTGCTGGTGTATTATATTCACTAGCAGCATGGCCATGGTTCATACCGTAACGCACTGTACTTGAAGAACTAGATTTTCCAAGGTTAACTGATAAAGGCTTAGGCATCTGTGTGAAGTCTATTTTGTTGCTTGGAATCCCATGTTTCTCAATTATGTGTACTTCAAGTTGATTCTTAGTGGAAAAAGCATATTCTTTACAGACCCAACATAAGAATGGAGCAATTTTGGATGCACCAATGTTATGATAAACCTTTTCATGCTGGTTTAGTCGAACCATACTGGGAAAAGATGATGAACACTGAGAACAAGGGTGAAGATTGATACAGTGCTCAATTTTCAAGTGTTCAACATAGCTTTCACTACTTCCTACTTCTAAATCACAGTGGAAACATTTTATTGGATATTTCATTAATTGACTGTGTTCAACTAAGTGAGAAACAAGATCGACCGTACTGATAAGTTTGTGATTATTACATAGGAGACACACTATTTCTCCATTCTGTAAATGATTTTGACCATGACTTATCAAATCATGTTTGGTTTTACTAACTTTTGCACAAACAGAGCAACAGAGATTTTTTAATAAGTGTTTTTCTTTTTCATGGTTAACCATATCTTCTCGAGAAATGAAATGTTTATCACAAGAAGTACAAAAAAAATCAGCATTGCCATGTTTTTCAGAGAGGATTTCAACCCTAGATTCTTTTGCAAAAGACTTTGGCATTTCCAACCATACATTTTTTTGGTAGTGTGGAGCATGTTCCGTTCGAGCATGTTCCATAAAGGCAGCTTTTGACTTAAAAAGATTTTTACACCATGGACAACCAAAAGCTTGGGTGACATTTGAAGTTCCTTCATCTTGAATATGTTGATCCAAGTGACTATTTAGTGTACTGGAAGATTCAAACAGTTTTACACATTTTGGGCATTTGAAAATAATTTTGTATGAGCCTTTTGAATTGTTATGGACGTTACTGTTGTGAAGCTCAAATCCAACATGAGCATTGAAGTTCAGTGAACAGGCTGTACACTTGTAGAGCATTTCAGAGTGTTGCCTTAGGTGAACAGAAAGCCCTTCAAATGATAAAAATAAGCTTCCACACAATGTACAAATATGGCCAGGTCTTCGTAAAAAATGTTTACAAGTTTTCACCACATGCTTTTGGAATTTGTTCCATGGGGATTTGAAGTATTTTCCACACTCCGGACATATGTAAGGTCCCATACGATTATGATATCTTTGATGGGCCTGAAGACTACATGCAGAACTACATTGAAGACCACATCTCGAACATTCATGCATAACACAATGATCTGGAGAAAAGTGTTTTTCTAAATGCTGATCACTTTCAAATATGTTAGAACATTCAAAACATGATCTTTTAATACTGTCGACATTTACTGTTGACTTACTGTGTGATAATACTGTTCCAAAATTAGTATTACTCGGAATAAAGGACATCTTATCTATCATATTGGTACCAACGGTGACTGCTTTACTTGTATAAATTAAGTTTGCTGAATCAGAACAAAATCTTTTTGCACCGGATAATGGAACAGCTTGTTGCAAAATATTTTCAAACACAGGCTGTTGAGACATAGGCAGTGATGATGAAATGTTTGTGGAATTTAGCTGACGCACAATTATACAGTGGGGATTTTTACCCTGAATAGTTGCAGAATAGACAGGTACTGGATAAGTCTGTGCTCCTTCTTGCTGAAAATTGCTTCTGACATCTTGTATCTGAGACACAGTTTGTCTTCCACTTAATTGTACTGGGCTGGATACAATCTGTAAATTACCATTGTGACATGTCTGGTTTGTCGACAACATCTGATTTTGGGATACACACCAATTAAAGGTACCACCACTAGCTCCTTTAGAAAGGTTTATATGACTAGGATGTAATGAAACAGATGGTGGCATTAAAACTACTGGGTCTACTCCTTGACCAAACTTATCATAATCTAAACATCCTTTGAGAATATCCTGATTCAGTGTAGTTACCGTGGCCTTCAGGATGTCTACTGGTTCTCCCTGCTGATGGTGTTTATGAATGTGGCAAATTAAGGAACACCGATTATAAAAATTTAGGCATTTATTACAAGAATCACATGGAAAACTGATAAGTACTGAACGTCGATTTAGATGATCCAGTAAACTTTTATTTAGCACAAAACAATCACCACAGGCTTGGCACGAAAACATACTAATACTTCCTGATGTTCCTAGGTTCATAACTTCTGGACAAGCTTGAGGCGGGATATATGGAGGTAATATTCTGGTGTTTAGCTGGTCAGAACTTGATGTGCTACAAACCCCTGGCATATTACACAACCCTGAGAAATCTTGACAGTCTGATTTGTTCATCTGAGTATACATGTTTAATCCATTCATACTTTGAAAGGACATTGTTTTAAATTATATGCTTACTTTACTAGAAATTGTAATATTACAATAGTCATTAACCTAGCAATTGCCCCGAGATCCCTGGAGGTGATTTTCAATATCTTGAAGGACTGGCATGCAAATACTTGAAATCTGCATCTACAAGTGAAACAAAACACAAAATATATCATAAAAATTTACTAAACTACAGTCAATATTGCATATTTTTTCAAATAACTAGGTATATAGGCATTTAAGTTTCAAACAATTATACAGTGCCTTGCAAAATTATTCAACCCCCACCCCCAGAAAGTTTCCACATTTTGTTGCCACCTAAACTTGCAATCATGAAACTTTCAAATGGGACATTATATTTAGAATCTACACAATATACTCCAAACTGAGAAAGTTAAAAATATGCTGATATTATGTAAGTAAGATTTTCAGAGAAAATTAGAATATTCTCAATTGCATAAGTATTCAACCCTTTTGCTACAACCTTAAATCACTTCAGGTGCAAAAGATTAATTTGAAAGGTCACAAAATTAGTGCAATGGTGTCTATCTGTGTGTAATCAAAGTGGTTTAACTTGACTTCAGAGTAAATGCATATGTTCAAGCCAAAACCCATGTAGTGATATGACAAATTGACCATGAAGTCCAAGGAGCTTTCCAAACAAGTCAGGGATATAAGTAGTAGAGAAGCACAGATCAAGAGAAGGTTACACGAATATTCCAGTCCCTAAACAAAGCTGGCCTGTATGGGCAAGTGGCAAGAAAGAAGTCATTACTGAAAAAGAATCATATTAAATCTTGTATGGAGTCTGCAAAAAAGCATATAAATGATACTGCAGACATGTGGCAGAAGGTTTTGTGGTCAAACGAGACAAAAATTGAGCTCTTTGGTCTAAATTCAAAGTGTTATGTCTGGTGCAAGCTCAACACAGCACATCACCAAGTCAACACCATCCCAACTGCCAACATTGTGTTATGGGGATGTTTCTAATCAGCAGGGACTGGGAAGCTCATCAAGATTGAGGGGGGATGATGGTTGGTGCAAAGTACAGGTGAATACTTCAGGAAAAACCTGCTTGAGTCAGCCAAGAATTTAAAACTGGGTTGAAAAAAATTCACATAACAGCAGGACAATGACATGAAGCACAAGGCCAAAGCCACACCGGAGTGGCTTCAAAAGAAGAAAGTGAATGTCCTAGAGTGGTCCAGTTAAAGTACTGACTTGAATCCAATGGAAAATTTATGGTGAGATTTGAAGATTGCAGTCCATCAACGATCACAAGAAACGTGTCAGAAGTGGAGCAATTTTACCAGGAAAAATGGGAAAAATTATGCCATCCAATTGTGCAAAGGCAGAAGAGACCTATCCAAAAAGACTCAAAGCAGTAATTGCTGCTAAAGGTGCTTCCAACAAATACTGACATAGTGGGTTGAATACTTATGGAATCAGCAAATTTCAATTTATACATTTTCTTAGTGGATTTTGCTGACATTCAGCCTCCTTCACACATAACAGTGTTAAGTTTGATCATTAGGGTTTTGAATAAAAACAAGTTCATTAAAAAAAAAATTTACATTATTTGTATTTCATCAAATTGTAACATTATTGTAGGGATGAATACTTTGCAAAGCCCTGTATATATATTAGTCACATGCCAAAAAAAGCCAATGCACTCACCGTAGTGAAGTATGCATAAAATTCATGCACACATGCATCAGAAAATTTGCCTTATGGATGAATATTTCCCTCAGAAACAAACATTTTTAGAAGAACAAATTTGAATTTAATAAATTATATATATTTTGCAGATAGAGTTAGCTAGTAAAGGTCATGGTGGTTATCTCCAACTATACATACGTAAAATATTACATTTGTTATTACACCATCACACATCAGAATAAAAAAAGAACATCAGTATTATTTCTAGTATATAGAGATGAGACACAAAGTAGGTTCAAATTCATTTTATATTAGTTTAGTATAAATTAAAATTAGCAAAATAAATAGTTTGACTTTTTTCGTGAGATCCTCTTCATTAGTAATACTACTGTTCTCCTGCAGAGTTATTATTTTAAACAATGGGCACAACTTACGAAGCTCCAGCACTAATACGTGGTGCAACATGCCAAAGATCTCAATACTAAAGTAAAAGATGTTTTATTTATTAATGTGCGTGTACTAAATGGTGCCTTTTTTCACTGTTTAGTTTTTTAAAGCAACTACAATGACAGAATGGCACAATTTTGTTGCAGTCAGTATTGAACATATTAACACAAAATATTTTATGCTATTAAATGCCAACAACTGCCAAATTTTATTCTACCAAATTGCAGATGCAATGTTTACAAAATAAGCGTAATTTTAAAGGAAGCAGAAGATAAAATAACCTTACGTATGGTACATATTTTACAATATTAACCTATAATAAAGCTTATTTTATTGAATCTAAAGTAAGATGCTTGTTTCCCATCTCTGGTAATTACATCAAGTGAAGATCAGTTTGGTAGGTTAGGAAAGTCTGACTCAAAGAATCTTGTAATATTGCAGTTTTGTCTACACCAGTACTATTTTTTATTAAATCAATATTATGTTGAAAAAATTTCTATTAAGGAAAAAACTGAAAATGTAAAGTTATTGTCTTGCAAAGACTTTTAGATGATTTATCAGAGGAAGCAGAAGACATAAATTAAAAATTACAGTGCAGTTGAATGGCAAAAAAAAACCAAAATTAACAAGAAAATCTGAACACTATTCAATATGAATCTGCATTACTTTCAGATGAATATTTTCAAACAGTCAGTGAAAAACTACCGAGCTAAATAATATAATTTGTGATAAATAAATATTCTGTGTTTAAATAGGTAACACCTATCCTACACTAAAAAATGTAATCCAACATAAAATAAACAACAGCTGACTGAAATAAGTGTACAAATCAAAAACCTTTCTGATTTTACTTTCACCATGTGGGTTAACATCCCATTCTTCAAAGAATCACATTAGAAAATATCACTGACCAATTCTTATTGAAAATTACATAGATATACTTACTTATATAAAATTCAGAATCAGAAGAAAAAACCTAGTCAGCATAATATCATAAATTGAGAACATAAAGTGATCCAGAACTAATTCTTGAAAAACAATTAATCTCCAGTTGATAACAAACTATGATAACATTGTCAGATATCCCACATGATGTAATTGTTTCACTAAAAACATAGATATAGCAGTTATCCTTGACACATTACAGTAACTAAAGATGAGTTACTGGAAACAAAATATTGTAAAAAAAAATACTGTAGTTATAATTTATCTAGAAAAAAAAAGGGGAGCTTTTAATTAAATTTATTGTATAACAATTGTTTTTAATAAACACTTTATATCATGAGGTTTGAAACAATAATAATTACTTTTATACCTTCCAGCTATGTCTTTCATAGTGACTTCGAATTTTCTGCATTTTACTTTTAAAATGCATTTCTGTTAGGTAGCCCCTTCTTTGTAAACCACAGCATCTATTAAAAGGAAAAAGCCAACATGCACCAAACAGAAAGACAAATAATACCTATAAAACCTTTCCAACATCCTTTGGTTGATCGTTGAAACCCTGTATAAGTCAAGAATTTACAATTACAAAACCTACCCATGTGCATGAATAATACAATGCAAATAACATTAAAATAATAAATTATAAAACCTTTTCCCAATATAAATAACTACAAATGCTTACAAGGAGCAGAAGAAACAAAAAAAAAAACTTAAAGAGTTAAAACAAAATAAAGAGGGAATATAATGACCAATAAACTTCTGAAAATTTATTTCATATGGGTTTTTAGAAATTGAGGGAGGGGAACAAAATATGTATAGATTCACAAAACAAAAACGGAAAATACAGTTCAGAAAATATTAAACATGCTATCAGCAAAGCTTAAGCTGAATAAATTATATGGCATTAGTGAGTTTATAATAAAATGAACTAAAACAATGTCATATCCTCTGTAAACATGATTCAAAAAATAGATGCAGTAAAATTATTAGATCGTAAAAAGAAATTTAAGATAAATAAATTAGTTTACACTATTTGATGAACATAACACTTCATTTAGGCCTTGCCAGAAGTGAGGAACAAGAATCTAGAGATCTAAATGGTGCCCTACCCCCACTAAATAAATACGTTTTATAAACCTCTATTTAGTAATAAAATTCTTTACATAACTACTTTTATTTCTCTTATCCTGCTCTCACTCACATTTTTACCAAAATAGCCTCATATGCATACACATACAAATACATTCACTCAGTCTACTTAACATTCTTATTTTTCTATCCTGACACAAATATCAACGTATTTATATGTCATATGTTATGGCCCTATAAACCAAAATTATAATTCTAAATGTTGTGCTGTTGTTGAATTGCAAAGATAAAAATGTAGTTTAAATCAAATAATACTGACACCATGTTTAAATTCTAATTATTTACCTGAACAATCCATACATAATTGTATGCCTCTTCATGAGAAACTTTAGCCTACTGAATCAACAACACAAGGATTATGTTATTGCTGTTAGGCCTTCACTTCAGACTAAAATTCTTAAAAAGCACTTAATGTACTGTAATATGTAATTTTTTTCTGATTAAAAAAAAAGTTCACAAGACAATTATAAGGGAAAAGGTATCTAAAACTATATGCTTAATATCATTAAGTTGATAATCTACAGTTTACCAAAAGTATTTACTCAATAATGTCATAAAGAACACAAAGTAAACATGCTGACTTCTAAAACTGTTAAAAGTAACACGGTGATTATTATGCCCCAATAGATTTTCTTATTAATAAAAAACGGCAATAGACTGTTCCTCATTTATTATAATTTGGGCTAATATTACATATAAAATGGTCTTAGCTATGTCATGTTAGAAATACAGCAAGAAACCTAACTGCAGTTGAAAATGAAAGCCTTTATTAGTGGCATTCCAAAGGTTTATTGCATAACTACAACTGTACTTTTCATCTGCAAGGAATTAAGTTATGGACCCCTTAAATTGCATTTCACTACTTTTCCTCATCAAAACAATAAAAAAAAAAGAATACAGTACCTAACAGCAAAAGATTTTGCCTACTGACAAAAAGTCTAGCAGCAACAGAAGACTTTCAAATTGTAACTGTTTTTGTACTTTTGAAGTACCTGCAGAAGCTTTAGATTGGAATAGAATGTTAATTTTTTCTCTTAATAACCTCTAACCTTATTTTCTCACTTTTTAGGAAATATGTGCTTTCTTTATTTTTAACAAAAAGAGACACAATAGCAACCAGACATTTCAAAACTGATACTACAAGTTTACTCACATTATTTATGTGGTACTTAAACCCAAAGTCTAAACCAACATGACCTTGTAAGTTATGGTGACAGTGTCTCCATCTATAAAAAGGCTTATCTAGGAGCCCCAATCTAATTAAAAGTATATTTCTATAATATTTTCCATTCTATTTATATCCTGATGAAATAACATAGTGCTGTGGTTATGTAACCATAACTCCTGTAAAAACTTAATCACATTTAAGTTTATAACAATTCAAAAACTACAATTCAAGTTGCTAAAGGAATAATCTAAGAATGTGGTAGACAAACTGATAGTTTTAATATTTACAGCTAACTTGTTTTCATGTGTCTTCTTTTACTTTCTCATGTCATTGTTCAGCCAGCTCTCTTTATTTTCCATAATTCTCTAAGTCTTACATCTTAGTAGTTAACTTTTTAAATTTATAATGTTTATCTTTAATTTTTTCCAAATACTTCTGGTGTGCCAGATGCTGAGAAACTGCTATTGGGAAATATAATAGATGCATATAAATTTAATATTAGCCATGAAACGGTTAAAGAAAATATGATAAGGTTTATGGAGCAGATAGTATTTTTGTAAAAGGGTTTTAAAAAAAGGTTAAGGATTGTGTAAGTAAACCCCTTACTAAAATGTTTTGAGAGTCTTTGAGCTGGCTAATGTTACAGCATTGTCTAGGTAATTATAGACCAATTAGTCTTATTTCTGTGGTGTTAAAAGTTTTGGAGAGACTGATTAAAGATGCTTTGCAAAACCACCTAACAAAGTTTATAAGTTTGTTGTACAGCCAGCATGGTTTCACACAGGGAAAATCTTGTCTCACAAATCATTTGACCTTCTTCACACATGTCAATGTTTATATTGATGAAGGTCGAAAATTGAAATTGGTATATCTAAATAAAAGACAATAAATAAAATTATCTCTGTGATCATGGCTGGTATGTTAGTTCAATGGATTAAGGGCTGATTATAGGAGATGAAGCAGAGTTTGTAATAAATGGAGTTACTCAAACTGGATTGGAGTTCAAATTTGGGTATCTCAACACTCTTTGGTGAGACCATTACTTTTATACATTAATAACACTGAGCAGAGAAAGGTTATCAAAACAATCAAGCTAGCTGATGGTATTAAAGTTGCGGGTATAGTTGGATGTGAGGATGATGATTTATTTTATAAAATGACTTGGAATAATTTGGCAAATAAATGACACGAGACATTTATTCATGCTATATGCAAAGTATGGAACATGGGCTAACTTAATTTAAACTATAATAGTGTTATAGAAATAACAGACTGCATTCTGGTCAAACATTCTATTAATCCTTCCAAGCAGTTTTTGCCAATGGGAAGGTAAATAGTATTTTAGGTTGTATCTACAGGAACTTTGAATATGAGAAAAAGGAGGTTATCATTTCTGTGTACAGATCACTGGCTACACCTCAATTAGAGCATTGCATTCAGTCTTGGGCTGCTTACTTTAAGAACACTGAGATGTTGGAAAGGATTCAAAAGAGAGCTAGTAAGGTCCTTGAAATTATTTCCTCATGACAAAAGAAAGGTTAGAGCAGATCTGATTGAAATGTTCAAAATTATAAAGAGAATAAATAAAATTGATGCATTATCTTTTTGTTGTGTTTAATATTAAGAGTGGTAGGACTGGGAACATTGATTTGAGATTAGGAAGGGTAGAAATTGTCTGTAAATTAGGCAACTGTATTTTTTGAACATAGATGGTCAGCTTTTGGAATAAATTGTCTTCTGATGTGGTAGAAGCAATAGGATTGGGAGAGTTTAAGAGATGGCTTCATAAGTAGTTGGGGAGTCAGGGCTAGATATAAGCAGACTAATGTTTGACAAAATGAATGGGACAGCTACAATGTACCAAATGGCTTCTTCTTATCCCACAAATGTTTGTTATGGCTTGACCTTGTATGTCTTCATGGCTTAATACATTAGTATTATAAATAGCTTAAAGGTAATTTTTTTCATTTGTAGATAAGTTGAAGAGCTTAAATTGAGTAAATAGTTATGCTTTGAGAAAATAATGAACTTGGAATATCTATTTTTAATTGTATATACTGAGGCACAGAATTTGAGCAGATATCATTAATTAATTGCTGTTATCATTCATATTACTAAATTTAGCATGCTTTATTGTTGTATTAATATAAATAAACATTACTTTTGCCTTCACCAATTTATGTAGGTCATATTTTAAAATGTTACAGTATCAAATGTAAATTCCAAAGAGAAAGGCTTTTTGCTGGCATTAATGGAATTAGGAATCTAGCTAAAATTCAATGCTTAGAACTTTGCTTTTTCTTACTTACATTAATGAGATTAAAAGAGGACATAACTAGTAAACTAGTAAAGTTTGCTGACATTAAACTCTAGGAAATGTCTAGCTGTATTTAGGATGTTGAGATGTTACATAATAACTTAGAAAAGTTCGTAAGTTGGGAAAACATTTCTCAAAATGAAATGACCCTTAATTATAGTAAAGTGCTAGGTAATGCATTTGGGATAGCATATTTTGGATAACTTTTTTTACATATGTGCAACCACACTCAACAGCATGACTGAAGAATCTTTAAGAAGTGCTTTGTTGCTAGTAGTAAAGTTAACACTATTTTTCAGTGTATTCAAATGTCTACAAATTACTAGTTAGGCCTAGCTCACTTGGAATATGATGTATATCTTTGGTCTCTTTACCTGAGAAAATATATTGACTTAACAGAAAGAGTTCAGAGGAGTATTACTAGGATGGTTTCTAAGATCAAAGGGTTATCTTATAGGAAGAGGTTAAGTTCTCTTAATTTCTGTTGAGAAAAGAAAGTTAAGAAGTGATATTAAAGTTACAAGGTTATCCATGGATTGACAGAATAAAGGCCTCTAATTTCTGTATGCTATATTTTGAAAATAATAGGATGAGAGGACACAAAATAAAAGACTGGGTAGGTCCATTTACACAGTTTTATTTTTCTAAGAGGGTGATTAACTCATGAAATAATGTGCTTTGTAATACAGAAGACAAAATCCCAATTCAGACAGTTTAAAAAATAAAACAAACTGACCTAAGAAAGTGGAAATATAGTAGATGCTAAACGTTGTCACTTGAGTAAACTACCAAGGAACATGAAATACCTTGGAGTAAAAAATATGATGCTGACAAGTGTGTAAATATTGGGAATTGTCCTACTGTTCAGTGAAGAGCATATGGGAAAAAAAGAGGCAAAGATTAAAACCACAGTACTGACAACCAATATAAGTGGGAGTTAAAAATTTGTGTCCATAACTTAAAGTAAGTTTAAATAACAGTAAACATCTATGTAGACTTCATCACAATGAGAGTTTAAAACTAATCACCACATACATTTAATCAAAAATTTTTGGATACCTGTTGCTTACATACACTGTACTCAGTGATGACAGATAAGCATATGAACCTGATAAAGGAAAGATAATCCCACTTATATTTTCATTGTATCCTTCAAATAAAAATATATCTTCCCAGAACTTTCACATTGTGCTGTATTTCCATGACTAAAACATTTTATTTATAATCACTGATGTCTTTTATTAATGATTACTGACATACCAGAAAATATGTACAGGTGTATTGGTATGTAGCTTACAGCAGAATTTCTTTATTGGTCAATTATAAGCTGATTTTTTTGTACCATAGTAGAAGATTTTTTTTCTCTGTAATAATATGTTTTAAAACCTTAATCACTAGTTTGTATTACAACATATCAAATAGCTATACATAAATATAGTATATTAAGTCAAACTGTCAAAACAATTTTGCTAAATATTATTGATTCTCTACTTTTATTAGTTTACTTACTACAGTAAATTGATGTACCTAGTTCTACAGACTTCATGTTTAAAATATCTTCCAATTGTTCATAATGTCATATTGCTTTTACTGAAATTATAATATTTTCACACTAATTTCCTACATAAGGGCATAAACACACCATAAAATGTTGGATTTAAATTTGAGAAAATCAAACTACAAGTGCAACAATATATTTACATGCATACAAAAACGAAAAAAACTTAATTCTTGAATCAGTAACAATAATAAAAGTTAGAGCTGAACAGTATGGATACATATTTATATAAATTCTATTCAAGGCTAAATATTTACATTTCTGTAAGATTCTAGGGTACTTAAAAAATGTACAAGCAGTGTTATCATTATTCACCACTGTAACATTATTATAACACACACACAAAAAAAATGTCAAACTTTAATTTCTATATACATAGAATATATTTCACTATAACCTAAATAAAGAAGAATCAAAATCCTTATGTAAATATATTAGCTTGCCCTTCTTTGTCTGTAGCCTATAATGAACTATGCAATGTACCTGATGATTCAATCTGATTGGCTCCTGGTATGTTCTTGCACATTCTTGCATTTGTTGATAAGGTCTTTCAGACTACTTTTAGTGCCCTCTAGTAGCAGTAACTGTTAACATCAAGCCAAGAGATGCCATACAGCTACTAAATGTTGTACCAGTATTCTTTTTTTTATATAGAGCAGTCTAAAATATAAATCAGTAACAATTTAAATAGAGGGAAAATTAATTCTTACTAATAACAGCAATAATAAGAATGAAAGTTGAAATAATGAGTACCTAACTTTTTTTCTGTAGCCTTTTTTCTTTTTTATTGCTGAGATGATTCAGATACAAAGGTCAGACTTACATTCTTAAAAAAAAAAAGATATATTTTTTTCAGAAGTATGCTTATAATATAAAAAACAAAATAACAGCTTACTAAACTAGTATAATAAAATAATGGAAATTAATATATTAATTCAAAATAAGTGCAATAATGCTAGGCCTAATAATGAGTAATATGTTACTACACATGCAGAATCATAAAACATGTCTGCAACCACATTAGTTTCATATTATAAAAGTAACACAGTCAAAAGCTGGCTCCTTAGCCTAAGATGTTTATATAGTATTAATTTTAGAATGCAAGACAACTGGATAATCAAAAGATTATCAAAGATAGGCCACCATTCGCAATTTCAAAATGTTGTGAAAGTACCTTTCACCTTTGTAAACTAATAAAACTGTAAAAAAACTTCAAACTACACATGCAACAGGTAAACTTCCAAAAGTTACAACTATATGAGGTATAAATCTACATGCATACAATAAAAGTTAATTATAGTTCATTGTTATTGCTTTTTATTTTAGTTAATTATGGAGAAGGATGACTATTATAACTCCATTGAATTTACTACAAGCTAGCTAAATACTTAAAATACATGAAGAATGATCTTATATTGTATTAACAAATATTAATGTTGACTCATGACCATGTTCAGACTATTACTTTTAATATTCTAACATGTATGTATTTTGCTGTGTTTTAAGAAAATGAGCAGAAACATAGCATGAAAACCTTTTTTTCTGATTTATGAATGAAAATATCGGTCATGAAATAGATACAATTTTAGGAAAAAAATTAAGAATAATTAATTCTCTATTATTCCACAATATGTCATCATGCTAGCACCTTGGGATTTGATAACCTGGTCTAATGAAATTATAAGAAACAAGCATTGTGCAATCTTTAAGATATCTCATACATATTGAGAATAACCTTCTGTCTTCCACAGTTAAAAAATAAAAGACTTGTGCAATACAAGAATTGTTCTTTTACATAAATATTGTCACCTATATTTTAAGGCATTTAACATGTAGTATCATTTTCAGAGAAGTAATTACAAAGAAGATATACAGTTAAAAAGTAAAATAAAGAAAGAGACAGGTGGCCATTTTAAGTCAATCCACCAAAGCAACCTGTACAATCAAAATGCCCTTATCATCCACACTTTTTAATGTATATTAAAAAAAAAGGCTAAATTGATTTTAATTAGAACCACACATCACATCATTAAATAAGCTCTTTCAAAGATTTATAACTATAATGAAAAAGTAATTCTGACAAAGGACAAGTATGAATGTAGATTTCTATAGCTTATCCTTTATACCCCAAACACTAAAGTAACATTTTTTAATCTAACCATTCTAACAGCTACACTACCAAAAGACAATTTAACCAAGTCCCTTAGAACTTTAAACCCATAGCTGATTTAAGTCAATTTTATTTTGCAATTACAGATGAAATTCCTTCAAACATCAGTGGTTTTTTTCTTCAGTTTTTATATCGTACGAACTGCAAGTGTTTTTTTCCCATATTCCTTTTAAGTTGCCCATTTTGAATTAAAAATCAGAGCCATGTAAAAATGGCATTTAAGATCTATCTCTTGTCTCCCACAAGCCATTGCCCAAGAGATATATTTTAGATGCTATTTTTGCATGCCTCTGACCATATCAGTAAGATTTCTTTACAAACCATAGCTAAATGTATTCAAGTATTGACTGTGTATTTTGTTTTCAAGCACATGAACTAAAAATATGTTCTCCAACAATGTTAGTATAGTATAAAAATTCGATGAACAGGCCAGTGCACAAAATATACAAGCTTTGTACCTGAGAGAATAATTTACCATTGTGCCATGGAAAAATGTTTTTAAATTATCTGACAAGTAAATTTATATTTTTAAATTGTAAGTTATAGAAAAATAAGTGAATGTTTAATAAATTCTAATTAATATTTCTAGTCTTAGAAAATCATAATATTGTGAAAATGTGTCCCATAACATTTCTTAAATAGAAAATGCATAAAAACTTTAAAAATAGTTTGAAAGACTAGATCAATATTTGTTGTTGGGCAAAGTTACTTCTCTGTAAAATTAAAAGCTTGTAGAAAGATTTGACTTTAGAGTGTATTCTAACTTTCAAAATTAGTTTCAACTGTTGTTGGATACATACATATATATATATATGCAAGGGGATTATCAGATTCTGTTGAAGGTGCTGCAGGGCTGCCAACACTTAGAAATCTGAGTGAAAATTTAAAAAGTAAAGTTTTACCATACAGTAAAGTGCTACTAGTTGCCTTTTAAGTGAGTGAAGCATGCTCTCCCAGAAAACATTTTATTCAGTGAAGCAAAATTGTGCAATCTGGTGCATTTCCTAGATCAATGTAACACCGAACTTGACCTTGATCCAACTGGTCAAACAACCACAATGCACTATAGAAAGCTGCTAATTTGATCAAAACATGAGATTTTTTACTAAATGCATGTGAGAATAAGAACAGACCCAGATATGTTTCTCTCACTTGATGGATGAATGTTGGTAGCACTGGCAAGGGTTGTTGTCTGGTGAATGGAGGAGTAACCTTGGTGGTCCAAATGGCCTTCTGTTCCCTTCTTCGTCTTCATATTCTTAATAATTGCTGTCATGTCCTTAACCATATGCTACTTTTTGACATAATAAAGTTTATATCATGTTATTTAATTAAAGGCTCTTGGTGTCAAGTATTCATTTACACAAAAAACAAGCAGATACAAGGCAGTGCTTTGATTTGCAAATATAATCATAACTTCTCCAAGAAAGTTCCCTACTTAAAAAAAAATACTAAAAATCTCTACAGTATTTTTGTAAGTATGACATAATTTAATAATATCAGCAGATTAACATAAAAAGTAAATAATTATATTTGATGATTTATAACAATTATTGTTGAATATTTATTATAACACTTTGCATTAGTCAATAATCATTATGGGTATCCACAAACACATAGATGAAGATTATCCACAAGAATAAGATGAACAAAAATTATATCAACAGAAAAAAGATCTCTGGAGATTTATTCTGGAGATGAAAAATGTGACCTTTTTTTTATTATTAACTCAGGACGCTTTTATCTTACAAGATAACCTGCTAGCAGAAAGTTAGAGCTAGAGAATGTAAGTACAGATGTGTGAATTAATGTACACAAACTGATTGAATTATAGTGTAACTAAAAGCCTATTGTGGTCTGATACAACGTAAGTAAAATGCAAGATGAAAGAAAACAATTTGGTCCAATGAACTCATAAAAAATCAAGCAAAATCATTCCATTCTACTTACAGCACTTCCCATCCAACAAGTTTAAAAGAAATCAAACCCCATCATCAGGCAAACTATTTCACAACTAACCAAATTCAAAGTTCTGTTAAATAACAAATTTGAAAACAAGCTTAAACCTATTATTTTTAATAATCAAGTATGTATTTCTATTATATAATTCTACAAATCAAGGAAACTGTATAATGGGAGATGTCCATATACTCCTAACACTTTTGAACATGTGAATCAAGTCAGTCCTAATTTTACAAGTTATTGGACATCAAGAATCCTTTAAAATAGTATTTAAGGACAACCTGGGACTTGTTAGTCCATCTAGGCTGTCCTATCCATTAAACTGAACTATTAAACAAAACACAAAACTAGCCCTTAAATTAATTACACATAGTACATCTGAAGGCAACCCATTATAAAGGCCAACAACCCTATTAGAAAAAATAAAGCTGTCTTGGCTGAAGATAACTCCTACCCTGCTAAAAATTTTTAATTGTGTCTTAGTCTTACCATTCTCATAATTAAAATAAAGAAACATTATTAGAAAAATATAGCTGTCTTGGCTGAAGATGACTCCTACCCTGCTAAAAGTTATATTTGTGTCTTACCTAGTCTTACCATTCTCATCATTAAATATGAAAAAAGATGATGCATACATCATCATTTCCCTTTACAATCTTAAACACTTCAATAAGATGAATTTTTAACTTTTCCTTTTTCAAAAGAAAATAATTTCAGAGATCTTAACCTATCTTCGTATGACAACCTTTTCATCCAAGGTAACATTCTAGTAGCCCTCCTCTGAACCCTTTCCAACAGTTCGATGTCCTTCCTAATGTAAAGAGCCCAAGACTGAACCCAAAACCCCAAAAGTGGCCTGACCATCATCCAATGATATTATAACCTCTTTAGACTTGTATTCAATATTTATGTAGATACTACCTAAAATCATATTTGCTCTACTACTAACAACAGTACACTACTTGGATGTCCTGACACACCCACCCTTCAACAAACAGAACACTAATCTTTAAATCCAATCTTTATCCCTCAAATATTCATCAATACTTTCCACAGTCTTCCTCCTTATTGGAGAACTAAAACAGCTTCAATTGTAGATGAGTAGACTATTCAAAATTTTTAATTTATAGCCACTTGTCATTGCTACAATAGTATGTGGTCCACACAGATACTATCATCATCACCATTTTAACTTTTGTTTATTTGAAATTGGCACCATTTATAATAAATAATGCTTTTGAACTACAAAATACTATTACATAATGTTTTTGGGGGCAAATATAATCGAATGAAATAAATTTCAACAATCACAAGTAGCACAATTATAACTTAAATTTAAGGTACTCTTTTGGAACACACAACTTGTTAAATTATTATTTGTTAAACAAAAACGTGGATAGATATAAATTACTTAGCAAGAAATTATGTTTTAGTGAATCATTAAAATGGTGATGATGATGATAATATCTGTGTAGACCGCACGCTATAGTAGCACCCACTTTTCTTTCTCCCCCTCGTAATTCAACAAAAAAAAATCAAAATCAGATACGTCAATCTTATCAATTCTTTTAATAATTTTGAATACTTTAATTAGATCACCCCGGACCCTTCACTGTCTAAGAAAAACAAAATATCTCAATTTAGCCTCATGACAACCTTTCCACTGCCAGAATGGTCATTGTAGTCATCGTCTAAACCACTTCCAACTAGCCACTTTTTTCTTCTTTTTTTTGAAAAATAAGGGAACCAAAACAGCACACAATACCCCAGAAGGCCTAATTAGCAACTTATACAATAAAACCATGACCACTGAAGACTCACAATTGATATTCCTATATGTATACATAATTCAAGAATGTTAGCTTTACCAATTGTAATAAAATAGTCTCAAAGGCTTCAGAGCTGTATCAACCAATACCCCAACATCCTTTTCTTCATTCACCTAGTTAAGGATTCTTATCTAAATTACATGTGCATTATATTATGATAATTTAAATCTATAATAATCAAATACCATCTGCTACGTGTTGTCCAACTATACCAACTGAACCTATTTTCTCTATAAAATCAGAGCATTCTCAATATAGCCTGCCAGCAAACTCAACCAATTTTCTGACCATACCCTTATATGTAACTAATGTATATAAGCAATGGCAATGATCTTAGCAGAGATACCTGAGATACAAAACTTGTAATATTATTTAGTCAAACTTGATTTAAATTCATTCTAAAGAGCAATGTTGGTTTCTCCTACTCAGCTGTCAATCCATTTAATTAATATCCTTCTGCGACCAAAGTAGTTTTTCTTTTCAATAATCTTTTATGCAACATTTTATCAAAAGCTCTCTGAAAACATAAGTGAACCAAATCCACTCCTTTACTCATTCAGATAAGAAGTAACATTCTCAAAACAGTTAATTCTTCATCCACCATGAAAACAAATCCAGTTCTCTCTCATTTATATGTATCATACTTAAAAGGGGTAACTTTATAATTCTTGATAATGAAACTAGATTTTCCTTGTTCTGACACAGTCATTAAGACATTAATTTTCACTTGAATAAAATAAATATTTTTGACAGAATCAGCTCTTCACTGATGAACTTAGAAATTGTCTTACAGTTTTCAAAATCCCTTTATCTTTTCTTGTTAAATATTTCATATTTAAATCATTTACAAATAAAGTAGTTTAAGTTAGGTTAAACTTATTATTAAAGTTTCAAATTTGATAAAATGCTTTCATAGTTTTTCACAGTTTAGTTATGTATTGTGACTTAAATTTTGATGTTGTTGATAGTTCATTTGTTTAACCTGTATTTCAAGATTAGTGTCACCTCACACCCAAACTTATGAATATATTTGATGAAATGGTTCAAGAAGACTGTTTGCCATTAACAATTTGCGAGTTACATATACAGGTATAATTGATAGTTTAATGGAAAATTCATATGTCAGCCAGTTGTACAAACAGTAACATATGCCACTCCGGGATAAGAAAGTTAACAGTTGAATCAGAATTTATGTAATAAAGTTTACTAGTTTTTAATTATCCTTTTGGTCTAGCATAAATATATATACATACACCTTTTTACTACTAGTTCAATTATTTCACAACAGGACAAAACATTTTCCCTCAAACTATAATTTATAAACATGCTTTTGTTTGTTTGTGAAGCACAAAGCCATACAATGGGCTATTTCAGTATCTGTACTGTGTCCACCGTGGCTAACGAAACCTGGTACGGATGTTATGTCGTTAGGTAAATGTGATGAAAACAAAATGGGCATTATTTGTACCTATCATCTGTTTGCATATTTACTTTCTACAAAAATTGTATGTTATATACATTGGCGGCATCGATACTGTCCAATTAACGTGTTTTTTTGTTATTGTTTTTTAAATAAAAATTAATCACCACCAAGTATAAATGTTGTATTAATATATTACCAGATATATTTATAATTATAACATCAATTCTAGAATTAGAAAATAGATTTGGTTAAACATTTGGACAATATTCAGTCATAATATATTAACTGTCTTTTTCAAACCTTATATTTCCTAAACTAAATGAAGAAGAAAAATAACCTGCATACATGTATATTGTGCAGCTAACATCTAAATTAAAAAAAAATATATCTAGTAACGGTTAGATCACCAAAATGAAGCCTAACTGCCATTCATTGAATATTTACAATGAGCCTAAATACTAGTATTACTACGCTGATGTTACGTATATGTTTTTATCATATTAACATTTAAAATACATAAATAAACAGGGACATCAAATTCAAAGTTAATCTTGTTAATGTTACTAGTGTTAAGAGTATTATAATATATATACCATTACCACAATCAGTATTAATAGTAGTAATGTTCATAACTAATGCTGCTGTTTTCAGTAATCCTCTTTGCAATGTTAATATGACTATGAGTTACGTATTTGTTGATATAAAATATTTTTCAGGGTGTATTATTTTGTTTCCCAGATAACGTAAACTTGGCATTGTATCTAAGCAAATAAGTCAAATGAGATTACATTTTAAGTTCCTAACTTGCATGTATATTAATACTAATAACAGAAATCCATAAATTAAAACTTATGGCGTTCAAGTTAATATATAGGAATAACACCTTTAAACTTAACACATTCAAACATGCTGAAGCCTGAATGTCATATAACAATTTACGTTGGAATATTTTTTATTGAAATTGAAAATATATAAACGTTTCTCGTGTTTGTTTGTTAAATGTCAAGCTCCAGTAACATCTATTCACTAGTTATCCGCTTTTTCCTACGAAACTCAGTAAATGTAGGAACTAGATTTAATAGAATATTGAGTAGATTGTATTTAAAGCTGATGAGCATCTTTGAATTTAAATAAAAATGAAATTAGGAGCTTGATTTATTTTATTATAATATTGTGAGCAATCAGTAAAATTATAATTTAGTTTGTTTTTTGTGTACATAAACACAAGAACTATTTCAAAGATTTTTAACTTGAAAAATGTGTGTTTATTCAATTAGTCTAAAAAAATTTGATTTCGTTTCGAAATCTGATTTTAATAACAGGCTTATTTTCGGTTTGTATATTATTACCTGCTTCATAAACTATAAATTTTAATGACAGAAGTTTTAATTGTTAAACAATAAAAACAAATATCGTGAATAATGGGAACAATTAAAATTGTGAGCTTAATAATTATATCTTCAATAAAAAAATTGTCAGTAAATTGGCTAAATCGATTGGCGTATTCTTCTGTTATTTATATGTTGCGTTCCTGTAGCTACATTTTAGCATTTATTTGGCAAGCTTTTAACTTCGTTCAAAAACAAAAATATTAATGTATTAATTTACTATCTAAAATTACCAACTACGACTTCTAAACATCAATAATTCATATATTTATAGCCCCCCAGTGGCACAGCGGTATGTCTGCGGACTTACAACGCTAGAAACTGGGTTTCGATACCCGTGGTGGGCAGAGCACAAATAGCCCATTGTGTAGCTTTGTGCATAATTAAAAACAAAAACATATATTTATAAATCTTAACTAGCTTCTTATAATACTTACAAACATTATGTTGGCGTTAATTTCCTTATTTGCGTCAGTTCCGATGAAATTACAACAGTCAGAATTATATTTCTGTAAATGCAGCATCAATGTTTACATTATACAACATTATTTTAATAGTTACTTATTCAGATATTACTAACTGATAAATCGATACTTCGGTACTTATTCATGAATTATGTTGTAGTTAGTGTTTTAAAGTATTAAACTTGGTCAATTTAATGAGCTCAGATACCCTTGGACAAGCGTGGCTTAGTGGTCAGTGTGTCGAGCTGCGGATCGAAGGATTCATAATTCTTGACATGATACCTACTAAATACACTTTACACTTTCAGCTGTGGACGCGTTCTAAGAGTGACAGTTAATCCCGTTATTTGATTCAAAGAACCGAACAATGCCATTGTGACGGCAGTTACTACTGGTTAGCTGCCTTCCATCTGCTCAGTAGTTAAAGATTAGAGACGACTATAACTAAATCCTTTGGATCTCTAGCCTAACCGTTTAACCCATGTGCACATAAGATGTGATTCAGGTTGAAAATTTTATATGCAACTCCCTTTTCATTATAAATTTTGTGCTACACAAGTTTATCATATGCGTCCTACCACCTTAGTTAATGCTTAATTTTCCAAAATTCCAATACGTATTGAATACATATTTTTAATATAGTGTTGCGTCATCGAGTCACAT